CCCATGCTCCTTGTGAATCTGGAGAATCATTCCAATGGCTAGTTCACAATATGTTCAACTCTAGCCTTTGGCAACTAGCTGTTTTTCTTTACTAGTAGATCAAGTATACATGGATAAAATAAGAGAAATCTATTTACCCATTTTACAGATTAATTTAATTGTTTATATAATCATACTTGGAATTCGGATGAATATCTTTATCTTCATACTGTATAACAGCAACTTTTTCTCATTAATTTACAGTAACTTTCTAAATTCAGATATTCTCACATGGGACAAATACTTTAGTATCGTTGTATTGTTTACAAATTAAAATATTAAATTGATTTCATAAACTTCAAGAATTCCTTGGGAATTCTTAAGGAATTCCTTTAAAATTCCGTGATAATACATGTGATTGTCTATAGTAAGGAAATATATATTAAAGGAATTTCAGAGGAAATTTTAGAATTTAGATAGTTGCAATCATGGGTGAGCACATATTTTGTGAAACTGTTTCAAAATAAAATTGCATTTTAATTAATAAAGAAGTGCAAGAATGTGAAAGAAACCAAATTATATACAGTGAAACTTTAAAGTGGGAAAGAGATAGGGTGGCCCAATACGGTTAGTGTTCTAAAATATTGAAGCATATGGTTTATATATGTTTGTGGGACTAGCATTGCACTATCTCGTGAAAATAGGGAATATAGCGTTGAATACAAACTATAAAAACCCATTCATATTTCAATTTTACAAGTAGACAAATTTTAAGCCTTCAGATAACTATAATTCTTTCTATAGTACCTTGCTACTGTAGGGGTAACCCATAATATAAAGGCATGACTGTTAGTGTGCTTTAATTACTCCACAAGAAATAAGGGGCAAGGGATATTGGTAAACAAGTATTACCAATCTATCCTATTCCCTTTTAATTATAATGTCCAATGTGGTCAAAGCACCCTATAATAATTATTTACTCTCTAACAGCAGATGATCTTACTCATCAAGGGCAATTTTGTACCTTGATTAGTAATACACATACAAAATACTAAACTGTTTCATTACATATTTTATGTCTGAACCTTTGACATTGCAACAAAATAGGTTTGGGTGGGGTAAAAAAATTTTCTGGTATTCCACCGGTGGGGTAGCTAGAAATTTTGTTTCGAAAAAGGTGGGGTAATGATTTTTTCCTGCTTCATTATACTTTCTCTTCGGCCCCCACCCCTGCCATAAATAATGACCGGTCCCTTACGTGTTCGTTCAATGCAGCAGTTGTTCAGTGGCGTAGCCAGAACGATAATCGGGGGGGGGGCATATTCATATATTCGTGTTCTGCTTTATTAATTTTTTTTGAAATCAACTGTTTTTATGGTATGTAAACACGAATATATGAATATGCCCCCCCCCCAATTATCGTTCTGGCTATGCCACTGCAGTTGCTGGGGGTATGTTGTCAATTATTTTTCCCTTGCTTGTCAATTATTTTTCCCTTGATACCCGAAAAGGTATCGCCTTGTATCGTTGATCTCTTCGCCGTCAAATGTGCTGCAATAAAAAGCTGCAACAAACTGTTCCAAAAGATCACTGTCTGCTTCACATATCTTACCTTGGGACGTTGCTACTCGTTCAAACACTGGATTCAAGCTGGGTATTTGTTTCCATGTTTCGCTTAATGATTTCTTGCCTTTACCTTTGAACGCTGATGTGGTATCACAAAGAGGCTTGAGGTCCTAGTGATGTGGTAATTACGTGGATTGGAAAGTACTTCAAATGCTTCCCACTCCAAACTTGAGCCACAGTTCTTGGAGGCCGTGGATCTTGTGGAAAGCTTTGAGTGCAACAACAACAACATCACTGTCTACAGTCTTGACCAAAACGCGTGGAGAAAGTTTAGCAGCACGTTGTGCATGGACAAACATACGTTTATCTGCGGCATCAATACTTCAAGATCTACATCCTGATTCGCCACTACCCTGCCGTCTAGAGACCCCATACACGTGTATCAATGCTTTCAATCAGTACTTTAACGAAGAAGGGAAACAGTTCCGTTTTGTTTTCGTCGCATCTAAGAATCGTTGACTAATTGTTTGCCATACTCCCGTTGCTTTCACGAGCCTCCTAACACCAGAACCACGGTTTGACCGTGTACCAGACTTTAAACTGCCCTTAAAGTACCTATCGAAAAACCAAGTTGATTAGCTGACCTTAGATGATATTTTATTTTCGGTAGGATGACATTTGAGAATAAGGTGAAAACAAAACGGAACTATTTTTACTGGTTGAAAGCATTGATACACGTGGACTATTCCTGGGGTCTCTAGATAACAGAGTTGTGGCGAATCAGGATGTAGATCTTGGATTGTTGATGCCATGCAACATCGAAGAAGCCGATAAACGTATATGTCTCCATGTCCAACATGTCGCTGAACTCTGTCCACACGTTTTGGTCAAGACTGTAGACTGTGACGTTGTTATTGTTGTTTTGCACTCGGAGCTTTCCACAGGATCCACAGCCTCAAAAAACTATAGCTTGAGTTTGGAGTAAGGAACGTTCCAATCCGCAAAATTGCAGCATCCTTAGGACCTCAAACCTCCATCGCTTAACCGCGTTCCTGTTTTTCTACGCATTAAGTGGCTGATACCACATCATCGTTGAAAGGTAAAGGCAAAAGGAGCAACGTCGGAAGATAATATATGTAAAGCAGACAGTGATCTTTTGAAACAATTTGTTGCAGCTCTTTATTGCAGCACATTTGATGGCGACAAGGTCAACGATGCAAGGCGATACTTTTTCATAAGCCAGGGAAAGACCATTGACAATATATTCCCAACTGCCAACAACTGGTGCATTGGACGAACACGTAAAAACGATCTGCGTTACAAGCACGAAAGTGATACAATTGTTTATGAAGCCGCAAGAGTAGCGGAACCCACATATTGGAACCCACATATTGGGGATGAATGAAGGATGGCGAAGTTTGGAGCCGCAATGCCGCATGCCCGACGTTTCCCAATGACCGAAGCGCTGATTTGTTGTCAGGTGTAGTGGTGCACCAAATGTAGGGTTGGTAGATGAAATGCAAAGAGTTTGTTGAAGTATACAGAGCTGTGTAGATGTCACTAAGCGAAATGTTAGATAATGCCAAAAACAACCATGCTGAGTCAAAAATTAACATTGCGGACCTCACTGACAAACATAAAGAATATAAATTTCGCGTCGTTAATATTTGGTCTTTAAATGAGGATATAGCTCCTACTTTTGAAACATAGCAATTCCTTTATATTTGTGGGCAAAGTCCCCGTACATTTGTGAGCGTTACCGTAATTTATTTTTTACCAAAAAGACCACACAAGCCGAAGGAGTCTTTTATGACGCTTTATGACGCGTTATATGACATTTTACTCTTTATATTATATATTCTGGATACAATATACTCAGGAAAAGCGGTAAAACATCAAATTTTAGGGTAATGTGACTGCGCATGCGCACTACTGTTTTTCTGAAATATCCTTAATTTCATGACAATGCAACATACAATATTGTTGAAAGCCTTCTCTTGCGTGTATTTTTGCTAAGCGTGTCCATTTGTTCACAGATGTGATGACTAAATGAGATAATTTTCCTCAAGGCGCATACGGAATGTCGGCCATTTTGAAGGCCGAAATAGGCACTTTCCCCTGCTCAAATTTTGGGCAGTCCTTCCATTCCATATTCCGCATATCTTAATGAGTATCTGTGCCAAGTTTCAGAATGTGATCACAATTTGAACGATTTGCCTAAATTTGGTGTCTTAGCAGCCCTACTATTAGCAATTCCGCAATTGGCCCATTAAGTGGCTAAAACATTTTACAACACTGGAAGCTTGCACACTGGACTCACAATGGCATACGTTTCCCAAATGCATGGGCAACAAACATTTGGGAAAATGTTCAAAAACATTTGGGCAAATGTTCATTCCAAAGTTGGAAATATGCAAATTCAACCGAACTTTACATCAGATCGCATTTGGTTATTTTTTATCGCAATCATTGCATAAAGGTGTCATTTGACAGCTAAAATGATTGTAGATGGGTTTACGTAGAGCACGACGTTGAACCCTCTCGATCCGTAGAGCACGACGTTGAACCCTCTCATTACGTCTCACATTACGTAGAGCACGACGTTGAACCCTCTCGATTTTGTCGGAAAGGTAGGAGGGGATAGATGTATTCCAGGCTGCACAGCATTATTCTAGCACAGATCTGATAATCGAAATGTAGATAGTCAGGAGGTCGTTGGCAGAGACACCGGAGTTACGCAAAACTCGCAAAAAGAGACTTCATATTTTGCGAGTTTTGCGTAACTCCGGTGTCTCTGCCAACGACCTCCTGACTATCTACATTTCGATTATCAGATCTGTGCTAGAATACTGCTGTGCAGCCTGGAATACATCTATCCCCTCCTACCTTTCCGACAAAATCGAGAGGGTTCAACGTCGTGCTCTACGGATTTTATATCCAAACATGTCCTATTCAACCGCGCTTGCTACCTCCTCTCTTCCCCGTCTATCCGATCGTCGTGATACTCTTTGTAAGAAGGTTTGGATAAAATAACAATACCATCATCACGCCTTAACCGCATTTTACCTCCGACCCGGATTGAGTCGCATGGCAGAGAACTGCGCCACTCTAGTAATCTTAGCCTATTTAAGTGTAGGACGGACAGATTTAAGAACAGTTTCTTCCCAGCTATGTGCTCACGTACTATGAACAAGTCATGACCGTTGTCAATTAGGTTTACAATCTAAATTTCCATTTTTATATAACTCCAATTCCTAGTTTTAAAAAGTAACAGTAGTCTTCATAATTTTATGCTTGTAAAAATACTATAATTCACTATTACTTGTATTAGTGCGATTGTATTTTAAATATACCGTCTATTATTAAAAGTCAGATCCTTATAAAAGCGGAAAAGAAAACCTAGTGACGTATTAGTTAACGGACGATAACATGTTTTTCACACCCTGTATTACTGTATATAAGCATTTGTGGTTATTAATGATTTTACAAATCTTTGTTTCAGTTACTAAGTGCAATGTCTGAAAAACTGACTAACTATGATGATGTGCCATTACCACAAGATCTTTCAGAAGGAGTTGATGAAAGTGAATGGGTAAGAACCATTAAAAATTGAAGTAAAAAATAGTTTTAACAACATTCCGTGCACAGAAGCAACAGAATTTGTCAAGGAAAATCTGTCGACCATACACACGAAAAAGTATAAACTTGCCAAGGAAACTTGTCAGGGAAAGTTGCTCGTGTATAAGGCTTAAGAGTTGGTGAGAGTCGATGAGAGTTGGAATAGACAACTTGCATGCTAGACTAATTTTTGATTTAGACAAGTAAAGAACTTATCAAATAGTGCATTTTTTAGCGATTCCCAGTAAGCCGTTCGCGCTCGTATTCGACTTTTCCGCTTTGCTCGGGGACAACCTCAATTGAAATAGCTGTATACAGCATTTCGATATTTGCGTCATTTGGCCTGGGAGCCTCGCTCTCATGAGTCGTGAGCCAATCACCTTGCGTAATTTACTAATGAGAGAGCGAGGCTCCAAGACCAAAAAAGTATGTATGACGTAATTATCGAAAGGGTGTATTGCTGCCATCTAAAAACACACCGGTAAAAAATTTCCTCTGATTAACCAATCACATGTAATCACATGTATACGTACTTGGTCAGTTATAAAGGTAGCAGTAGTGGAAGTCAAATTTAAACCTCACTATTGGCGTAATCTCCCCCTAACCAAAGGCCATGTTACACGGTGCAATTTTTCTTGCAACTTGCAATGCAATTCTACTCTTGAGAGATGTTAATTAGTGAAATCAGTGAAGAATTTTTGATATGTTGAGAAAACATCAGCGGAGTGTAATGAAGACTCGTATTTGGTAATTTTACATCTCTCAAGAGTAGAATTGCATTGCAAGTTGCAAGAAAAATTGCACCGTGTAACATGGCCTTAAGACCTGTCTGATTATTTTAAATCAGATAGGATATCATTGTGTCCTGGCGTTGACGTATGTTTCATGTTCTAGGACGACTGAGCTGCTGTGCTGGAATTGACAACCACGTACTAATCCTCGAAGTCCGCTTGTTTTGAAAGTGAACATATCGTCAGTTCGCCATTTTAATATTAACCGACAGTACTTAGGTATATAATGCCAAATTTTTGTAAACACTGAACAGTGGCGGACAAACTGCCCCCCCCCCCCCCCCCCCGCCCCGCCGCAATAATTTCCTGAAGCCTTTTAAATTGTGCCTGGAAATCTATGTAACAAACTGTAACAGTAATTTTTCATCCATGAAAGTGTTCGTAGGCCAAAATTCGAGCTATACCTGTCTTTGCATGCAATTTAAAACATTTTGAAGACAAAGATTCCAGCTACGAAAAGTGGTCACATGTTGGCAACCTAACTCGTCCACCTACCCCCCACCCCAATATTTTGTGTCCGCCACTGTAATTGAATCAATTTTCCAGATTTAATATATTTTAATAATTTTTATACCCTAACACATCACAAAATGTACATAGTTAATTTCAACTGCTTAGATATTAAACATGGTAAAATGTCACATAGATCTCCCCGAAATTTCAACTGTTTAGAAATTAAACAATAGACGCGATCGTTAACTTGTCTTAACCTTTATTTTACCCAAGAAAGCAATTAACGAGTAAAGAAGTTATTTAGAAAATATATTGCCTTTATACAAATATGTGTTCTACAAGAGAGAGAGAGACCTAAATACGCATGCGCTTACTAAATTATGCCAATCTTAATTAAAGTACTTTATTTAATATACATAACACGTGTCCATATGTTAGAACTTTATTAAGTCAAATGCAAGTTGATGACAATATATCAAGCATGTTTCGCTCGCTACTCTGGTTTAAATAAATGATTACAAAGCCCAGTCGAATTGTAATCAAGACCCAACGTTTCGACACTCCAGCCTAGTGTCTTCATCAGGGGTGATCTAAAGTTGCAATCGTGGCTTCTTAAATATCCAAGGGGTGACGTCACCTGCCAATGAGATGCATGTATTCCTCTGGCAAATGGGCACCTTCATCCCTATTCAAAGCATGATTACTCATATTTATATGCCACGCTTCTAGGCAAAGTCTTTGACCACAGCATTTGTTTGTGGTAATTACTTTAAAGTTTTCCCACGCAATCTAGCTCGTGTTTGGTGTAATATACATGTTCTGCTAAAGCTGATTTTCCCTTGTTTAAAGTTGAAACAGCCTTTTGATGTTCTTTTAGCCGTGTACCAAACTGGCGTTTAGACTGACCCAAATACTCTTTCTCGCAGTCACCGCATGGTATAGAATATACGGCACGAGTTTTCTGATTTGTTTTAACAGGATTTTTGGCTTTGCGAAAATATGGCCTAAAGTCAAATAGGGTTTTAAGGCAACCTTAATATTACAATTACTTAAGATTCTCTTGATTGGTTCTGTAACACCTTGAATGTATGGAACTACTACATAACCCTTAACACGATTGCAACTTTAGATCGCCCCTGATGAAGACACTAGACCGGAGTGTCGAAACGTTGGGTCTTGATTACAATTCGACTGGGCTTTGTAATCATTTATTTAAATCAGAGTAGCGAGCGAAACATGATTGATATATCTGGTTGCAGTGAACGAACAAACTTTAAATATTTCAAAGTGTGGTTAGTCGCGCTTTAAAATTATATCTTATTTTTCATCTTCCAAATATTCATATCCTTTGAAGTCATCATCTTTCCCATTAAAAGCTGCAGCTAGTTTGGTAAACAGAAGAAAACAATGGTATTGTTTCATCTTTTTTACGACCATGAAGTGTAAAGTTTATAAGAATATTAAGTTAAGACCTCAAAAATTACTTCTCCTTTGAATCAGCTCAACCACATGTTTGTGCAACATAGGTTTTCAGTTGATCAAATCAAAAGCAATTGAGGCTAACAAAATCAAATCCTGCATATTTTGTGAATGGCCAAATCAAACCGGTTAATCACTTTGCCTCTATCAAATTTTATAGGTTTTTTTTTCAATTATTAACAATAACTGAACCTACAAAACGTATTAGGCCGTTTGCCAAAATTATTACGCTTCGTGGCACACATGTGGGATGTACTTGGTTAGTGGCTTATTTGAAAGGCATATAGGTACATTACTACCATTTAGGAAGGCTCACTTTTAAATTTGATTTTGAAGTCGTTTTGTACCAGCCTAGACCTAGGCCTTCTAGTCTTATTTATATTTTTTAATGTTCAGCGCTTTTTCACATGAAAAGACTGGGACTAGGTGATTTGGGGGCGGGGCGGAGGAATTGCGTCAGGCTTGTGTCCTTCCTCCGCCCCGCCCCCAAATTACCTAGTCCCAGTCTTTTCATGTGAAAAAGCGCTGAATATTAAAAAAATATAAATAAAAATAGAAGGCCTAGGTCTAGGCTGGTTTTGTACGTTTCACCAACAACTTTTGCCAGTAAATAAATCGACTTCTCTTGCAAAAATTTTTATTTTAGTAAGTTATAGCAGCAAATTGTAATAATATAATCTATAGTGTTTGTTTACGCTCGCGTTCCTGAGTCCCAGGCCCCCCACTAAGTACGACGCATTTTTTCGCTAAAAGGTCAAAAGTGAGGGCCTATATCTCGGAAACTATTGAACTAAATAAAAAAGGTTGAAGAACTTATTAACTAACTTTTTGTGCTCTTTCCCAATTCGTAAAGATCCCGCAAGTGACATAGGCACTTTAAGAATAATTTCAATTTTTTTCCAACCTAATTTTTCAAATAACTCTGTTGATCTTATTTCATCATTTGAACACGTTATCACTCGAGCGGCTCGCTATGTAACTTGTGTAGTTTTTCAATATGTGCACAACTACCATCATCCCATATTACATTCGAACAGTATGTGAAATGAGGCAGACAAGTGCATTAATAATTAAACATGTTTTGAAGTGTATCTTGACTTACAAATTGTTTTCCTCTTCTCAAGAGAGCAATTGACTGGAAAATTGTTTTGCATTGTTGCATCGTTATGTTCTTCCCACTTCAACTGTTCATCGATATTGACCCCAAGAACTTTCTTACTTGAGACCTGCTATATAATATGGTTGCCAATAACTATTTGAGTTACTTGAAGATTGTTGTAGTCTCTGTCTTGAGCCTACCAGCATCCATTCAGTTTTTCCTGATGCGATGTAAATATGTGGAGCGTTGTTGTATCGTGTCCGTTGGACAAGCTTCTAAGCGAGATGCGTAAAATGTATAGTGGGGTGCTTGGAGGAAAAGTCTAATAGCGTATTGTAAAGAGGATGTTTGCTTGTTACAATCTTTCATTTAAACTGCTGTTGCCTTTATCTTAATAAGTTAACGAACGGTCGTTGCCATCAAAATGTCTTTGCTTGCGAAGGGCTTTTGCCCATGCCACACCCTGCTACCTAGGCTCTGGTAATGCAACATACTCCGACCCAGCCGTACCAAGACTCGAGTGATTGTGAGAAAAGACGATGTTTACACTTCCTCTCGAACTGCATGCTTTTTTTTCCTTTATCTTCGTAAGACCTTTGCCTTCGAGCTGTCTTTCGCTTTGAAGTGCCTTCGTCTTTGATTTCGAAGAGACTTTGCCTTTGCCTTCGAAGAGCCTTTGCCTCGGAATGGCCTTCGCCTTTGATTTCGAAGAACCTTTGCCTTCGAACGGCCTTTGCCTTTAACATCGAAGGACCTTTTCCTTAAAGCCACCGCTGAAACATCCTCCGACATAAACTCTCTGGTGATGCGATATCCTCCGACCCAGCCGTACAAAAACTCGAGTGATGCGATAGTTACAGTCGTACAATTTACACTTTGCCTTCGGACGGCTGTTGCCTTCAACGTCATAAGGCCCCTTGCCTTCGTGACTGTATATTACAACAAACATCCTCTTTAATCACAATCACTCGAGTGATATCTTGCTACGGCCGGGTCGCAGGATGTTGCATTACCAGCTGAGAGTCTATGCAGGAGGATGTTGTGATGGAGTAGTTTGAAGCATTATACGTGGAGCGTTGGCTTCAAGTAAAAGGCCCTTGAAAGGCAATGGCAAGGGCACTTTGAAGCAAAAGGCCCTTCAAAGGCAAAGGCAATAGCTCTTCGATGGCAAAGGCTCTTCAAAGGCAAGGGCAATAGCCTTCGAAGGCAAAGACCGTTCGAAGGCAAAGCCATTATTAAGATAATGGAAAAGCAGTTCGAAGGCAAAGGTTGTCCGAAGGCAAATGTGTGAATTGTATGACTGTAACATTACAACAAACATCCTCTTTAATCACAATCGCTCGAGTGATATCTTGCTACGGCTGGGTCGCAGGATGTTGCATTACCAGCTGAGAGTCTATGCAGGAGGATGTTGTGATGGAGTAGTTTGAAGCATTATACATGGTGCGTTGGCTTCAAGTAAATGGCCCTTGAAAGGCAATGGCAAGGGCACTTTGAAGCACAAGGCCCTTCAAAGGCAAAGGCAATAGCTCTTCGATGGCAAAGGCTCTTCAAAGGCAAAGACCGTTCAAAGGCATTATTAAGATAATGGAAAAGCAGTTGGAAGGCAAAGGTTGTCCGAAGGCCAATGTGTCAATTGTATGACTGTAATATTACAACAAACATCCTCTTTAATCACAATCACTCGAGTGATATCTTGCTACGGCTGGGTCGCAGGATGTTGCATAGTTTGCATTACCAGCTGAGAGTCTATGCAGGAGGATGTTGTGATGGAGTAGTTTGAAGCATTATACGTGGTTCGTTGGCTTCAAGTAAAAGGCCCTTGAAAGGCAATGGCAAGGGCACTTTGATGCAAAAGGCCCTTCAAAGGCAAAGGCAATAGCTCTTCGATGGCAAAGGCTCTTCAAAGGCAAGGGCAATAGCCTTCGAAGGCAAAGACCGTTCAAAGGCATTAAGATAATGGAAAAACAGTTCGAAGGCAAAGGTTGTCCGAAGGCAAATGTGTGAATTGTATGACTGTAACATTACAACAAACATCCTCTTTAATCACAATCACTCGAGTGATATCTTGCTACGGCACGTTTGAAGCCAAAGTCCCTTCGATGGCAAAGGCCGTTCGATGACCAAGGGCACTTTAAATGTATAAACTTTATTTCAACACGGAAATCTCGTCATTACAAACAATGCTCTTCCTGAGAGCCGTGCATATATACAATTATATAAAATTATAAATCTATGTATAAATATAGGAAGAAAGGAGAGAAAGGGAAACAAAGGGTAAACTAGATTTTACGATAATTTGAATGATTATATTACATATATACAATACAAGCATTAGAGACTAAGAGAATCTCGTATATTATTAGAAACCTTCATTTTGAAAGCAATGACATCCTCGGTTGATTTGATGTCATCACTTAGAGAATTCCAGGTGACCGCTCCACTGTATGTTAAACTATTTTTCATGAAGTTTGTGCTAGGTTTTGGAAGAGAAAAATTCACCTGGCTACCCCTTACATTGTAGTCATGCATTTGATTCCTTCTGGAAAATTGTGATGTTAGATACATAGGTGCATCATTATTTGCTATTTTATGCATTAATAATGCCTTATTCAAGTGCCACCTATGTTCCAACGTAAGCCAGCCTAATTTTTCTAAAATTTCCGCAGATCTAATATCATATCCAGAACGTGTGATAACCCGCCCAGCACGATTTTGTAATTTCTGAAGTTTCTCTTTAAAACCTTTATTGCAGTTATCCCATACCGATGAACAATAGTCGAAATGCGGTTGTATAATTGCATAATATATTTTCTTTAATGCGTCTACTGGAACAAAATCACGAACTTGTCTCAAGACACTAAGGCCACTCTTTACCTTCTTTACAGTATTACTTATGTGCTCATGCCAGCTAAGATTTTCGTCAACAGTAACACCTAGGATTTTTTGTGTTTAACTCTTTTCAGTTTAACATTTCCTATGAATAAAGAAGGTTCCCTACTTAAGTTTCTAATTCGTTGGACTGAGCCAATGATCATGTATTCGCTTTTGACAATATTAAGACTAAGATGATTGGCTCTCAGCCAAATGCACAAATTTTGTAGATCTTCATTAATTCTGTTTTCCATAAGGTTAAAATTTTCGTTTCCCATAGTGATGCTAGTGTCATCTGCATACATATTTGGTATTGTATGAGCGAGACAGCCCGGAAGATCATTAACAAAGATCAGA